ATTTATAATCCTTATAAATTAACTCACTTCCATCAGGACACCTACTATCAGAGGTAGCATACCTCTGATATAGTTATGTGTCCTGGAAGTTAGTTAATTTATTCAAGAATGCATTGTGAAAGGGTGTGAGCTCCAGGTTAATAAGCAATACCATCATATTGTTTTGCAGGGGTTTTTGAAATGCAGAATCTCCGCTGATGTTGTTGTTCCTCTTGTTCTTAGATTCACAGAAGCTTCATATGCAAGATCAACTACCTTGCCTCTTGGTCTCAGTCACTGCATAATTTGTCACACCCGCATTTTTTGCTGTGAGGGGCGCTGTACTTCCTTACAAATTGCCAGCCTCTATATAAATAGAAAAAAGTGGTCAGCAGTTTCTGACAACAATATGTGGGCCAGTTTCAAGGTATTAAATCTTTGCTAAATTGTGCAATACATGTGTATATATATATATATATATATATATATATATATCCCTGAATGAAAAAATGAGAATATTCATGAACATTACAAAAAATCTTCATTGGTTTCAAAGGTCTGTAAGTTTGCACTTCAATGTTTTGTTTTTCAACTTATTATAATTCTGACGTATAATTATTTTAATATTCAGATGTTTCTCCAAAAATTAAACAATATTTTGATCACCCCTGCTTTCTCTCAACTATTGCAATTTATGATTCCCTGTTGCTCTGCTTTGATAATAAATTTGCTTCATGAATGAAATCATATACCACTTGATTAATACTATACAGTATATGAATATATATATATGTATATGTACGCATGTCATCAACATGATCTTCAAGATCTCTAATGAAAATTTGACAAAAATTCATCAAAGGACCAATGTATGTCACATAATCAGCAGCCAGAATGCATATATAATAAAATAAAATCAAGAAATCTAAACACATCACTCAAGGAAATGATACATGGATGCTCCGAAGATGAAGCTAATTTAATTATTAAGACTTATATTCAAAGATAATCCTCCCAGGTATGCACCCAATGATCTAGCTTCTATTTCATCAACAATGGCTTTCATGCATGCATTTGCATCTTTAACACGCAATTTTTTACCATACACTGGTTCCCCATTCAAGCATTTCCCGTAATTGTCTTCCCTCTTCAAGTCTTCTTTCTTCAAAGCCTTTAGCACTGTCCAGATTGTTGGTTTTTCACATTGCAACAAAGTACAAAAAGTTGTGTGCCACTCTTCAATTGCATTATTTAATTCAAGCATGCCATGATCTAAGCGAGATTTCATATTCCAGCAAGCATGCTTGAAATAACCTCCAGTCCCCCTATTATTTTCAATGAAATTTTCTTCAAAATATGAGAAAACTGATGCAAAAGACAATTTAACATTCTCAGGTGCATTCATGTATAAGCGCATATTCCGAATTGCATAAAAGGAATGTTGAATTCTATTTGCTGGTAAGAATGAAAGGGCGGGGAGCATGCAAACTAGGGTTCTAAAAGCCTCATTTTCTGTGAAAAGGAAGGAATCTCCAACTTCCAATACTTTTCCATAAACCTTTTGCCCCAGATTAAACAAGGAACCATAGATTTCCACATTTGGGAAAATCTTTTTAAGTCCTTCAAAAGCTAGTACATTATACTCACAAATTATACTGCTTGGGTTGACTGTAATGCCACAATTATTTTTAATTATTGCTAATATTTCAGCAAAAGTCTCAGTGCTTTTACATTTACATAAGGCATAAATACAAGGAATTACTGTTTTATTTAGCACAATATGGATAGTACACAGTTGACCCACATATTGCGGAAGTTTATGAAAGTAACTATCAAGAAACCAAATTGCATTACATTCAAGCCATGTCAAAGCATTCCTTGAGCCAAAAATTAAAATCCGTTCAATAGATGGATTACTTATTTTAGAATCATACAAAAGAAAGTTTTCAGTCCCTCCCATTCCTTGATATTTTAAGGGAATCACAGCATCATCTAGGTTGTTGATGTCTTGCACTGGATTTCTTTTTCGACGAGCAGCCTTGATGGATTTGCATAATCCTCTTACACCCCGAAATCTTTGTCCAACTCTCCCAGAAGATGATGTGCGTGCCAGGAGGTCTTCAGCTATCTTCTCTGCAGATTCCTCAGAATGTTGAAGCTCCAACTTCCTGGTCTTAATCCAGGCTACATCACTGTCGACACCATTCGGAATATGACCAGAATGATCTTGAGTGACTGTAACAATTTCTTCACCTGGCAAATAATAATATTTAGACTTTTGCTGGAATATTTACAATCAATTAGAATAATTTTATCTCACCTTCTCGGCTTGAGAAGTCCATTGGAGTGTGAGCTCTTCCTTTACATTTCCTTTTTTCACACCTCCAAGTGATGTGATTTTTCCTTGTCTTGTCCCTGTTGTAGATGTATCCTTTGAAACCCACCTTCAGTTTCTGACTCTGCGACGTGAACAATTCCATCTTAAAGAAAATTAAATGTAACTTTAAATGCAATGCTTGCAAATGCTGTGAGAGCTATATAGGAAGGTATATACATACTTCTTATAAATAAGTTGGAGCAGATCCTTTTTGGAGTTGACGCAAAATGGTTGTATACAGTATATACACAGCAAGTGTCCAAATTTAAAAACATTCACCAGAATTAGTCCACAGCATATATATCTGAAAGAAGAAAAACAAGACATTTCTATAAACATAAGGTGAACATATCACAACAATATAACAGGATAACATGTAATATAATGCATGAAACATATTCATATGCAAAAACATCTTCATTCACAAAATATAATACACAAGTAGTAATAAACAAATCATGGATCACAGTCATTTTTCACAAGACATAATTTTAAAACTATACACAATCAACACAGTGAAGCATAAACTGTTCTTTTTACAAGACACAGCTATTTCAGCATCATAATTGAACAACAGTGAAGGACAATTTTTTGTACGAGACACTATTTCAACATCATGAAAGAAAGACAGTGAAGGACAATATTTTTTACAATAAGACAGTTCATAAACATTATCCAAGAACAACAGTGAGGGACAGCAAGGTTTTTTTTTTTGAAAGACAGTATTTCAACATTATCCACAAAAAACAGTGCGGAACATAAATATTTTTTTTTTCAAAACCGTATATCAACATTATTCAGGAAATTTTTTTTAAACAATATAAAAAGGTAAACATGTACTATTTATATTCAAATGTATTTTTATTCATCATTTTCAAATTCATCATTTTCAAATTCATCTTCCTGTGCCTTGCATCTAATATTATAAGAAATTGCCTTGAGATGAGTGAACAGATCACGTGTCCCTCTTGTCTCAACAAGTTGTTTCAACTGATTTGTAATGCTAAGGTAGGTATCATTCCCCTTATGGGGATCCATCCCTTTGAAACGACGTGCATAGATGCTCCCTACACGACCTTCTTCAAGCTGGAAGGCCTCAATTAAAGTCCATACCCCTTTGTTAAGGCCAAAAAAAGTTTTAACAAATATATTGTGCCAACCTTCTATGGCATTGTTGGTTCTTGGCATGTTGCCCATTAAGCGGGATAAAACATTCCAAGTGTGAACAGGAAATTGAGGCCTCATTCTTCTTACAGGTGGCCCAGCATTTGTTACATTTCCTATGTAAGTTGACTGAAAGTAATTGTAGATTAACATGAAACGATTCCTTATAAAATCACTAGCAGTGATGAACAGGGGAAATGTCAAGATCTGTTCAAAGGCACCCAAAACATCATCAGGAGGTAAGAAAGCAAGTGCAGGCAGTAATCCTACAAGCTTCGTGAACGGTGAATTCCGGGAATACTGATCTGAAGACCCTGTACTTTGAACTTTGCGGAACACACTCTGCCCAAGGTGAAACAGACATCCAGTAATTTGAACAGCTGGGTATATTATTTTAATTCCGTGCCTAGCAGCCTGCTCAAAATCAGACATGAATGTTCTTGGACTGACAAATGGAATTTTCTCCTTTATGACTCTGAAAATTGATACATATGTGCTCTTATTCTTCTTCTTACATAAAATGTACAAACAAGGAATAACTGTACCTGCAAAAAAAACATGGATAGTATAAAGCTGTTCAAAGAATTTTGGCACAACTTTGAATGTCCCATCCCCTGACCAGTCCCTACTTTCAGTCATCCATTCTAATCCCCTTTCAGTTCCAAAAATAACAATTCTACTTTGATCATTTATTCCAGAGTCATGTAGGAGAAAATTCATATCAGGGGCCACTGGCATGCCATCCCCTAAACGTTTTTGGGCTTTCACCATCCTATACTTCTGTGGGATAATGAAATCCTCACTTCTCCTCACATGTGGAGGTAGATTCAACAATTGTTTTCTCAACTTTTGTCCTGCCCTTTTTATTTCATGAGCATTACCAATTCTTGATGAAGCCCTGAATGATAAATTGGAGTCACATGTAACACTTGCAACAATTTTTTGAAGGGGTTCCTGGGAACAATGAACACTTTGTTCTAACACTTCTGCTCTAAAAAGAGCCACTTCCGCTGCAGCACTGTCAGCCAGATGATTATGAATCCTTGTGACTCTCACAATGTCTTCTCCGCCAAGGTTCTGGAAGCCAAAAGGAGTACTAGCCCTCCCTCTGCACTGGCGATTCTCACATCTCCAAGAAACACGTCTTGGCCCTTTTCCATTGTCCATGGTATAAATAAACCCATTAGATGCAATTTTGGGTTGCTTGCGGATTGACTTGAGTATATCCATATTATCTGGAAGAGAAAATGACTTACAATTAAACTGTGATTCAAATACAAAAATCGTTTGGATTAACATATAATGTGCATTAATTTATGGGGAAAAACTGCAATATCAGGCAATAATAACATCATGGGATTAACATACCTCTGAAAAATTACAATGTCCAATAAGTAGAAGGGTGAAAAATCAATGAAATATTGATGTTGTTAGTGGAATATGCCGCACACACTATAGATTCACAGCAGATCAAGAAGCAATGTGATGACAGATTTCACTTGTCTTGTTTGAAATATAATAATATTTTTCTGCTGTACTGTGTGTGTCCTGTGGGAAACATAATATGAGAACAAGATTTTTGCACACTGCCTGTATGGAAACAACTTCCTAAATACAAAAACTCATGCACAGCAAAATATTGACACGTCGCACAAGAACACCAGTTTTGTTCAATCTCCCAGTTTTCCTTTTTTGCTGGCCTCTTATGTTCAAAACTGGTCTCTTGTAAAAAGTAGCCTTTTTTTAAAAGATGGCCTCTTGTAAAAAGTGGCCTCCTGGCACAAACTTTAGTCTCCTGTTTAGCAAGGAAATCATGAATTAGCCACCCCTTATGGTTAAGCTTCTAAAGTTGGTCATCAATTTCATGAGTGCAAATGAATTCCTCAATAAAACATTGCACTTGAAACTATTGCAGGTTTTGGCAAAAGTTTGAAAAGCTGGTATAAATAAAACAATAATACCATAAAAAAAGATTAATTTATATGTAGGACAATCAGCACTTATTCTGTGCTTCATATTACATTTCCAAGCTATTTATGTTATCTTTTTTATTTTGGAGCTAAAACACATGAATTAACAGAAACAGCAACATTAAAAGTTGCTTTTCTAAACATTGCAAGTTTTTCTAATTCAACAATGAGAGTAGTTAGCTCTCCTGAATATATATTTACAAGACGTTCTATGTTTCCTCGTTGCACTTGTTAGTATCAAAAAAATATTGCTACACTTCCTACACTTCATTTATAGCATTTTGCTTCCTCTCTGAGACAAGGCAGAATCAATTCTCAGAGCAGATGAGGCTCGAATGTGAAATTGGGAATACTCTGTGCCTCCATCCCTTCATTTAAAAGAAAAGAAATGAAAAGATTCAAGGAAATTGAAACATTTTGTATCCAGGGTCAATTTGTCCTTTGTGTAGAAATTTATTGCCCCATTACTTGTGTTGCGGCTGATTTTTTGCCAGTCAACAATCCAAGGGCTTAGTCATCATATTGCCAGCCCAGAATCACTTTGTCTGGGCTCTTTGGCTTATATTCAATTATTTTCCAAACCAGCCAACGAAGTAATAAATAAAATACCTAGAAAAGAATACCCCTTTTCACTGATAGGGGAAGTCAATCTACTGGACCCCGGTGGGGTGCTGCGGCTTGCCGGTTAGGGAGGGGGTTGCATCTTTTGTCTTTTCTGGCGCTTGGATTGGCATATAATGCTTGTATAAATTTTTCTCAATAACTGTGTTTCCCCATTTAGTCTACCGTTTCTATATACCAGCAAGGCATTCTCAAAAAAGAGAATGATACAAAATAACATAGGTTTTGAAAATTTTATTTGAAGCAGTAAAAGAAGACAAAAATCCCTGAACACCCAGTGTATGCATTTTGTCAAATTTTAAATTATTCTTGTCAACATCAATTTTTTAAACCTTCATTAATATTTGGTATCAATCTCTATGTTTTTTTTAAAGAGGGGAAACAATTTTAAAACTTTGAAGAGTTTCAAAAATTCATGAGGCGCCAAAATTCATGAAAAGCTGCTGTCCATTTCAAGAAATCACAAAAATGTTCTTTTTTCATTCTTTTTCACAGGAATAGAAAAAGAAATGAGCTGGACTTTTTGTTTGCTGGTGCGCTGGTAGTTGGAAGATCCGCTGGTATCCGAGATCCGGCCCAGCCCAAGTATTTTCCGGCCCAATTACACTGCGTCTTGATTCCCTTTGTATTCCCGTTGACCAGTCAGCAGGTAAGCTGTGACCATACAGCTTAAGCCTTATGTCATTTGTCAAAATTGGTGACTGCTTTCCATGCATTTTGGAATAAGAGAGAAATTTAAAACTCTCCAATTTTTAAAATTGTTTTTCCTCTAAAAAAAAACATGAAGAGAGTGACACCAAATAACATAGTTTCAAGAATATTTTAATTTAAAAAAAATAAGAAGGCATGCTATTGGAACTTCAAAAAAAATTGCAGCTGTAGCTAGGACTCTGGCCTTGACATTCATTGGGCATTTTAGAAATTTTGCATTTTATTAGTTGAATGCCCCAAGGGGGACAATTTTTATCAGGAAAAGAATGCTTGCTGATTTTATCAGCAAAGGACTTTGACAAAAAAGGTATTTTGCAGAATCGCAAATATCTTGGAATTTAAGAGGTGTAGCAACATTTTATATGGAATACAATTTGTAGACAACTACGCAACCTAAATTTTAAGATGTTGCACAATTTTTAAATTCAAAAATTGAGGGAGATATTGGCGTTGGCATTTTTTCCTGGGAATTACGTAATGTACAAAATTCCCCTTGGAAATTTTCCTGGTTTTCAGGACTTGTACCTTAATTGCACTCTTCAAGACATAAATTCTCGTCACCCCTCACCTTATTTACAATGTCATTGCAGGCTATAGTCAGCATTGCAGTAAACAACTCTGAAAATTTTCTGGCTATTTACTTGACAGAATTTCTCAACCATGCAGTTTGCACAAAACCTGACCATCAGCACACCATTTGCTCTTCATTGAATAAAACCTGAACATTGGTCCAGCTTGTAAATCCGCACATATACCAATTCTGTGATGGGCAAAAAAAAATACTAAACCCTGATGGGTTCTTCAACTCAGCA